ATTATAAAGATGTTAAATCAACGGCTGGTGTTGGTCTCTCGCTCACACATTTACTATGGCTGTCACGGTGATGAACATATGTAGTCTACTGTATAATAGACAGGAAATGTAAACATAGTATGGCCATGCATCAGTGTATGGCAAACCTCTGCTCCAACATCAGACACAACATCACAGAGAGAATCACACATGTTGAGTCAGCACAGATAACAATACCTGTCTCACTCATCTGCATCCAACTTGTGTTTTAAAACATAACAGACTAGTATAAACCTCGCAATCCATGATAAATCCTCTGCATTTACACACTTATCAAACAGAACATCATCATAGAACAATTTAAGGGGGAACTATTATGCAAAATTCTTTTTTATAAGTGGTTTAAGCATAGCTGTGTGGCCAAAGTGTATGAATATAGTCACGCTTTAGTGATAAAAATTAATTCACTCAGTTTTAAATATTCACACTTGACAAACTCTCTACAGTAACACTTTGATTGACATTCTCCTTTTCTACATGTCATCTGAGGGGGAAAGCCCCGCCCATGAGTTATCTAAACAGCCCTGAGTGAGAAGCAGCCATCCGCCATTATTCACCTGCTCAAGATATTTTCAGCGACTGAGAGACATTAACTGAGGCATAGACGCTTGCAGCTCCGCTCTCTTCTGAAAAGAGCACAATCTCATTTGAATTTAAAGCAACAGTCAAAGGGGCAGTTTGATAGAGCTGTAAAACGTTATTTGTGCGGTATTTTGAGATGAAACTTAACACACGCTCTAGGGACATCCGAGACTTATTTTACATTTTGTAAAAAAAAAGGCATAATAGGCCCCCTTTAAAGAGTTGTTAACAAAACAGGACGAATTACTTAACCACCCATGACAATCAATACATTAGATAATATTAATAATTTAAAGACTTTTGAGCGGGATTAATATCCCACTTTTAATAATACACTGTAGTATCCTTGTGCTTAGAGCATTGACACACATGCAGCACTATGATGCTCAAGGTGACTCAAGTCGATTCCTGGCTTAAGGCTTTTGCCGATCCTTCCTCTCTCTCTGCTCCTACACTTTCCTGTCTAAACTCTCCACTGTCCTGCCCCATTAAAGGGGAAAATCCCCTAATAAATAAATTCAGATATTAATATAATTGTAAACATGTTTCCTTCCTACACTGAAAAAAGAAATCCTTGTTGTGTTAAATTTTTTAGTTGAATCAAATGAACCTCTTGAGTCATTTAAACTTATATCAAACTGACTAACGGCTCATGTAACTTATAAAATTAAGTTGAAACGTGATTAACTCACAATTAACTAAAAACTTATGTTGATATGACTAATTGATCATATACTGGTTTACAGTCTGTACTGTGAATAATTGTAAACTGACTTTCCCAGAATTCCCTGCATGACACTCTTTGTTTTTGTAATAGTTTTGACAATAACGCGGTTATCGATTTTGTTAACTAGAGTTTTATGTTACATTTTATGCTGATAAATAATGTTTATGGCATTACTTTAGTGCCGCGTGCTACCATGATGATGTTTGGTACACTCAAAACACTACTTATTTAAAATGAGTTGAAACAACACAATTCTTGAGTTTTTTGGGGGACAACTTAATGGTTTTATGTTCAACTCACTTTAATTTGTAAAAAAAAAAAAGATCAACTTGTGTTGGGACAAGATAAAGAAATTATGTGAAATCCAATAGGGCTGGGCAGTTCAGCGAAAAGTAATCAAAATCGACATTCATAACCTACAATCAATCACATTTTTTGAGGTCAATTTTTTAATCACTTTCCCTACCTTGTGTGGAGTCACCCGCTCTGTTAAGGCGGATTTAAAGTTCTGCGTTGAACGCACAAGTGTGGTCCAGTGCCGCTTTCGCACGGTCGCATACCCGCGCACCTCTTGAAAAATGTAACTACACATTGCACATTTGCACTATATTGATGAATATTGAAAGCTGCACTAAAGAAGCCTTGAGACGGAATATTTTGTATTAAAATCAAATTAACATTGACATTAAAATGTTTGTTTACAGAAGATGCAAGAAATGCACTGTTTAAAATATTATTGTGTATTATATTTTAAGTGAAGCTGCTTTGACACAATCTACATTGTTAAAGTGCTATACAAATAAAGGTGAATTGAATTAAATGATATACAAGAGTTATTTTATTTGGCTTATTTTCTACTTTTAATATGAAAAACATTGAAAATAATTGATATTGTTTCCAAGGATGCAAGTTATTTATTTATCACCTGCTATATGTGGTGTTTTTGTCTGTTCATAGGGTGAAATGTGATGTTAATAATCCTTCAAGTGGTTGGTATAAATGAATAAAATATGATCGTTTAGAGTACATTTAGAAATTATTTGACTGTCATTTTACCAGTAAGGTTCTGGCAATCTTCTTTTTGCAGTGTGGCTTTTAATGAACTGTGTAGAACTGAGAGTTTGTATGGTTGAAGTGTGTGAGAACCCTTCATTTGCTGTGAACAGGTTAAAAACCACATTAAGAATAACCTGCATTATCAGAACGATTATCTGACCTTCCAAACATTAAACGTTGATAGTAACGTCAGCAATTAATTGAATATATGCTTTTTATTAACTGATTCATCCAAATAATTCTGTTAAAACAATCCAGCATTTTATTAGTTCAGAGATTCCCTCTTGTCATAACATGGAAAATTCTGCAAATCCACCGTAAATACAAACGTCTAGATAGTTGTACACAGATGTGTTCTGTAAGGACAAAAGTCATGAGTTCAATTGAATTCAAGCTTGGTTTTATGACTATAAGTCATTAACAAAAGGTTAGAAGGATGTGGCAAGGGTAAAATGAGGCAAAGTGACTCATTGTCGTGCGATATAAGAAAGGAAACGTGTTGGTTAAAATGAAGCACACCTCTCAGCTTTATACCTCAAAATTAAAATATCATTGGCAATTACAATAATTTAGCTTGGAAATAATTTCCAGTATGAGCAGGCAGTGTAAGCATGCTCAGTTTATAATAAGACCATGGCAATACAGAAGTTATGAATTGGAGAAGTTCAGAGTATAATAAGAAATGGAACTGTGCGTGTCAGCTACTCTACTGTATGTGGACTGTATATTATAAAGCAGCACTTACATTAATGCGTGTGTGATGTGTGTTTGTGTGTGCGAGCATGTGTATTAATAGCCGGCCCGACAGCAAGGGTTTGGTTTAACACATTGTGTTTGCCCCAGCTTGAGGGGAAACAGAGAGGGAAGTGAGACATTAACACCATAACCATAAGGCATTTTTTTTAAATGAATGATGAACTGCGCATTCACTTCATATAAAACAACCTCATGTTCTTGATCGATACGCTTTATAGGATGTATATGGTATCAAACAAGTTCATTTGTGAGGATCATTCACTGAAAGCAAACTGATAACACATCTTTGACCTTGTGTGCTTCGAATCAATGATATACTGTATGTCTGATTAGCTTTATCATTCGGATGATTCGGTCTTACTCAAAATAATCAGAACTCATGTGTGACACAAACTGAAAATATTCTCCAACATTCAGAGCAGGCGTTCTGTGGCTCCCCAAAGGGCCTCCAGTGGGACTTTCCTTCTCTTTCTTCCTTTGAGAAACCACTATGGCTTGGCGGACCCCAGATTTGACCGTCTGAGGAAGTCGGCAATTCTTCAGCTTTTTGGCGGCTTTTACACGAGTGTCACAATCGATACTAGCAAAGCTGGTTTCCTGTGTAACTTTCTCTGGGATTATTTACAGACTATTGTTTATTTTCAAGTGAAAAACTCGTGCTGCCCCCTGCAGGGGTGTGATGTTAATTATCCACGTCTGGCAAAGGCCTCGTTGTGTTGCATGAAGTTGGCAGGAATGAAATATTGATGAGAGGAATAGTGAACGAGTGAGAAATGAAGGATGAAGTGTGAATGTTGAGGGCGAGAGAGATATGGGTCCGACGAGATAGTGGTGTATGCAGGTGGGTGATATTATTAGTCAGTCGTTGGCTTTATTTGCATTTTTAACAAAAGGGAAGTGAGTGTGTGTATGTGTGTGTGTGTACGTGTGCAGTTATGCATGTCTATATGAGAGATTCTGTTTTTTGCTAGCAATGTCTGAAGCTGTTTTGCAACAGATAGTGCTGTGAAATGCACTGTCGAAAAATAAACTCAACTGGATTGAAGCCATTGGTAATATTTGTGTATTTTGTTCATTGCATTCTGATTTAATGTTGATATTTTCGTTGTGTGCTGTATATACATTAGGGATGAGCAGAACTTTATCTTAATGTGTTGTGATTTTTGACATTTTTGAAGGAGTTTGGCTGAGTTTAGCTTCACATGCTCTGGTTGTCTCGGGCGAGGGATTGGGACAGTCCCACTGGCTCGGTTACAGTTAAATATAAAGCGACACGTCTGTGGTGACGTGATATCACTGTTTGCTGAATCGGTCACATCTCCACTTGAATGAAAAATGAAGGGATGTATAGACAAAGCTGCTATTTTATTAGCAAAATGTGTGCATTTGTGTCATTTCTATTCCAAATACATCATATTTGTGTTTATTGAATGTCCATACATCATTTGCATCATCATCATCTTAGATTATAAGGATTATAATACATCTTGCTTTTCCATTGTGAAATGTTATATATGAATGATGTGTATGATATTTGAATGTATGATTGTAATTTATGAACACAAAATGTGTGAGGAGAAATGCATTGGTGTGTATCTACACATTCAAAAATGCTTTTTGCTGCTTGTTCAAACTAATTATTTAAAATGAGATGAATGAACACAATTCTTGTTTGAATGAACACAATTTTTTCGGGGGTGGGGGGAGGGGGGGCAACTTAATTTTTTTTGTTGAATTCATTTAAATTTGTAAAAACAATTAAGTTACCGTAACTTAATCAATTTGTGTTGGGACAACTTTTATAGTGCAGATAATGATTGATATCGTCTCTTTTTATCAGACATCAGAATGTCAAAACCAGTAGAAGTTGAGAATCCAGCGGCAGATTCTCCAATGGAGAGCACAGGTACAGTACAGAGCTACATCTTATTAGACGTATGTTATATTTCTGTATGTCTGTATCTGAATTCGAGGGGAAAAAACAAACCCAGTCTGATCAGACATTTACCTATTTACCTGCCCAGATAATATTTCCAATGGCTAATATAAGTAGTACAATTATAAAATGATATAAAAACTTGTTTAAAAGATTATTTATCAACCAACAATAAATTCATTATATTTTAATACAATATACACTATACTGTAATATAAAAATGAATAATGAATGTATTTATTAATTCCATTAATATTCATTAGTAAATGCAATATTACGAACAATAAACAAGTTATTGTTTATATATATATATATATATATATATATATATATATATATATATATATATATATATATATATATATATATATATATATATATATATATATATATACATACATATATAAGCAATGTATTGTTAGTAATATTGCATTAACTAATAAAAATTAATTAGTTCTTTTTATAAACTGTTGTATCAATGTTGTAACTAAGTCAAACTACTTTAAATTGGCTAAATTGTACATTATTTTCTCTCACTGTTTGTCAGACTCAGAAAGAAATGGCTCAGATTCAAATAATCAGGTAAGGAACTGGTAACAGTGTTGATCTACATCTGAATTTGACATGATTAAGAAACTGATCATGTTATTTGTGCTTCCCTCCAACAGGTTCAGCCAATGAAAATCAACCCTTTCTCCATTTCACCCACATTGAGCAGCAGCATCAAGGTGAGTCAGTGTGTTTGAAAACAGATATGATTTTCACACAGCTCTACCTGTATCTTTTATGGGTTATTATTACCAATTTAAAATCATTTTATGGTCAGAATTAGCTTTCACTTTTGCATTTTTACTCCGGGATTGTCATGCCCTAAACTAGACTCATTGGTCTAACCTGAGCACAACTATAATTACAATAATGTAGGTAGCGCATTATTGATTATGTAACTAACTAATGTAACTACATTATTTTATTTATTTATCTATTTATTTACTTGTTTAATTTGCTTTACTTCATGTTGTACTATTATTACCATTATTACTTTACTTACAAAGTCAAAAGTCAAAGTCAAAGTCAGCTTTATTGTCAATTCAGCCACATGTACAAGACATACAGAGAATCGAAAATGCTTTACTCTCAGACCCAAGGTGCTTAACATTAATATAAAATATACATATAAAAATAGTAGAGTTTAAGAAAAAAAAAAGAAAATTTACAGTATATACATTGCACATAAATGTGGTCTAAAAAATATACATATGTAATATACGTATGTATATACGTATGTATATGAATGTATATATATTGAATGTATATATATATACATATTTTTCTTTTTATTTATTTAATTTATTTCTTTTTTTTCACTTTGTCATCCGTTATATGTTTTACAAGTTTATAAAAGTGTTTAAGAAAAAAAGCAGAAATTGGAAGTTTTTATATAACAAATGCTCTACACTTGTGTTCAATAAAGTTTACAAAAAAATTTATTATAGATTTGAATATATATATATATATATATATATATATATATATATATATATATATATATATATATATATATATATATTCAAATCTATAATTTTTTTCGTAAACTTTATTTATTGGACACAAGTGCAGAGCATTTGTTATATAAAAACTTCCAATTTCTGCTATAAATGTTTATATAATATGTAAAAGTATGTGTTTATATATATTATGTTTTATATATAATGTATATGTTTCATATGTATGTATGTATATATATATATATGAAACATTATATACAATATATATAAAACATTATATACATTATATGAATCAAAATACCTTGAAATCTTTTCAGATCAACATTTGTTGTTTTATACACTTTTGCTGAGTGCAAATATATATTTCTACATTTACTTAATAATATATATTTTAAAAGAGAGGGATAGTTTACCTAAAAAAAAATTAATTTAGCCACTATCTACTTTAAATGATTCCAAACCTTTATGATTTGCGTTTCGGTTGAACGCAAAAGAAGTTATCTGAAAAATATTAGAAATCTGTAACCATTGACAATCAAGAGTAGAAAAGACAAATACTATGAAAGTCAATAGTTACTATTTTTCAGCATGTTTGTGTTCAACAGAATAAAGAAGCTTAAACACGTCTCTGACAAGTTAATGATGACAGAATTTTCAGTTTTGGGTGAACTATTATGATAATGGTTAAACCAAATTTGATTAAATTTCTTTTTCTCATTAAAAACGAAATTCATCTTTTTCTCTCCCCATTTTAATTCTCCCTCACCATGTCTCATGAATTGATCATCAATGTTTCTCTGTGTGTCAGGCGAAAGTGGAGGATTGTGGTGAAATGTCTCCCACCACTGCTACACCCGCTCAGACAGCTCTTACCCACACACAGCTGATGCTGACAGGAGGACAGCTTGCAGGAGTAAGACAAACACACACACACTTTTACATCTGCCTGTGTGGGTTCTTGCTTGCACTTGCTTGCTTCAGATGTGCGTTCTTTCATCCACTTTTCTAACTCTTATTTTCACCATATTTTTCCTCTCTGCTGCTCTTTTTCTCTCTCTATCTCTCTCTAGTTGACTGCACTTTTGCCTGCACAGCAGCAGCTGCTCTTACAGCAGGCGCAGCTCCTCGCTGCAGCTGTGCAGCAGTCACATGTGGCCCACGCAGCCAATCAACAGCAGGCCCAACAGCAGGCCCAGCAGCAGGCCAATCAGCAAGCAGCTCAGCAGCAATCACAAGGCCAATCGCAGAGCACACAAGAACAAGCTGCTGCTGCCCCCGTCCCACCTCCTCCTCCTCCTCCTCCTCACCAGCTTCCTCTTTCTCAGCCAATCCAGCTCACTGCCCAGGTACAGCCAATCAAGTACCTGATGTTCTGATAAAAGGGACAATGTTAAGTACTTATTTTTCAAATGCACTTGTCAAAAAGTACACCAAATATATTTAGCAACCAATCATTTCACTATTAAAACTTAGTCATATGCTAATAACTTCAACTAGTAATTAATGACAGTTCAAGTGTACAAACAAGTGCATACTATACAGCTTAGCTTATAAATATATTGTAGAACATTTGAATCAGTGAGTTGTTCACTAGAGACTCACTGTGATCGAATCATTTGAATTGGTGAATCAATAACTAGACAATTGCTCTGGGGTGGCTTTCCGAAAACCATCGTTAGCTAACTAAGGTTTAGCAAGTTTAGTCATAACAAACATGGTTCGTTGATTTGGCGTTTCCCAAATCGGTCGTTACAACACTCACAAACTGCATCGCAAACTTGTACGCTTGCAACTAAACCTTTGGAGCTGTAGCTAGAAGCATGGTTTCTGGCTGTTTTGATTCTCAGTTATCCCCGCTATGCCCTACCTTTTAGAAGATTTTAACATTTAAACTTGAAATGATTTTTTGTTAACATAGCATGCGTTGATTTATACAGGCTATGAGATTAGAATACGCGTTAGCTAAGTGATTTTATATGGAACATTCTCAATAATATTTGTAAAGGAAACATGTATAGGTCCTATACAGTATTAGTTGTTTACATATATTTCGATTAATATGGAAAGAGAGTGCATGTTTTTTACCAAAACTAAAATTGGATTTTTTTTAAAAAAGCATGTGCGTGTTAAACAATATAATTTGCACAAAATATTATGGTGTTTTTCTCTAAATAAGTAGTTACTCCTCCCTGTTAAGAGAGTGATTATAGACGTTTTACGCTAACATGGTTTAAACCGATGGATCTGCGACAGAGAAACTACGGTTTTGGGAAACACTCATCACTATGTTGTTTTTTTCCCAAACGATGCATCGTACTATGGTAGTTTCGCTGTGAGTTATGTCGTTGTTTGGGAAACGCACGCCTGATCAGATCACTAGCGAAGCCCTCAACAGTTTATATGAAAAGAATCAACTCATACACATATGGAGTGGATGAAAATGTTTCATTTCTAAATCACCAGAAACAATATGCTTTATGGAAAGCAGTGCAGTGAATGTTTAAAAAAGTTTGTTACTTTTTACTTTTAACTTATTACTCTTGTTAAAAGAATAATACTTGGATAAAGTGCAAATATTTACTTATAAGGACTGTTCACACAAAAAAATTTAATTTCTGTCATCAATTACTCACCCTTTACTTATTTAAAACCTGTTTGAGTGTCTTTCTTCTGTTAAACACGACAGAGTATATTTTGAAAAATGCTATTTGCTGGGAATTCCATAGTAATTTACTCCCAACTATGTAAGTTAGAGTGCACCATCAACCAGCATTCTCAAAACATCTTCTTTTGTGTTCAACGGAGGAAGGAAATTAATTAAAGTTTTAAACTACACAAGGGAGAGTAAACGATGGGGTAATTTGTACATTTAAATTTTTTTAAAAACAAAAATAAAAATAGTTAGTTGCTGTCCTCCACTGCCTACCTACGAGAGGTAGAAATTTTAAAAATACCCTGTACAAAGTAACACACAATTTAATATACAAAAACCTTGCTTATTTGTTGTGTATTCTTTCCTCAGACCTTCAACATTGACAGTCGGCATTGTGGCAGAATCAGTTCTTTCAGGCATTCATCAGAGTGAAACCGTCATGTTTCTTTTCTCTCTTTCAGGACATTCAGCAGTTACTGCAGCTGCAGCAGTTAGTCCTCGTTCCAGGACACACTCTGCCTTCACCCGCACAGTTTCTCTTACCACAAACACAGCAAGGCCAGCAAGGTACAGCTCAATTTCTATTTGTACTCTCATTCTGTGTCTTCAGTACATTTCCAGCATCAGGCCGTTTGTCTTTTCCACTTTAACCAATCAGACATTGCAGTAGTGGTTTTATATATATTGATATTATCAATATCAACAACATATGTTGATATTTTAATATTATCAAAGGACTCTATTCTTACAATCTAAGTACATTGTCTAAAGTGCACAGCGCAGGTGCACTTTGTTCACTTTTCCTTTTAAGGACATGCAAAACAGTTGGTCAGTATATAAACATAGTTAAAGAGCCCCTAGTATGCATTATAAAAGGTCATATTTTGGTTTTGGGGGTCTCCACCAACAGTCTGATATGTATGCAAGGTCAAAAAACACTTTCATTATTTTGTAATATGCATTTATTTTTAACTAATTATGCCAACGACTCCTATGATTTGTTCAGCGATTAATTTGTTCCCAAACCTCTCCTTTAAGTGATGCTAATCTGAGGTGTTTGGTCTGATGACCCAGTCGACTGCGTTCAGCGCGAGATGGAAAGAAATGCTCACTATGGCTTATCAACATTGTTGAAATAGTCAGAGTGCAGAGTGTATGTGTGAGCCCAATGCAGGAGTGCATTAAAGCATTGCAGTTAAAAACCAGCATATTGCTCTATTCTTAACTATAAGTAAAACAGTTAGACACATTCAGTATTAATCCACACAGTGGAAAAGTTTGACTATTTTGAAAATGGACAGCAGCACATGTGTAGGAACAACTGATGGTGGCCATAGCAATGACAAACGGCAGAGGATCGCGAGCTCACAAATGCATTTAAATCTGAAAAGAAAGCGGCACACACCACGTTTTCAACATGGTTATGGGCACGATATGTGAATATAAAAAGTTAACCAGATACAGTACAAGCCGTGCGGAGTGATTACAAGAAAACACGATTAAATACATTTTGTGCAAGCTAGAGAAAACAAGGGGGGAACCTTTTTAATCAGGCTTACACTTGTGAACTGGAGGAAGAAGCGGATCCATGGACTGAGTACTGGTAAAGTTCCTGTCAAGCTCTGACACAGTCCCATACATCTATAATCTTTTCTGATTCTTCCTTTAAACAATGGGTTGGTGAATCCCCAGTTGCAGGGTAGGTTATTGTAATAATCATCAGAATATAAACTCATTAATGTTCACTCATCTTCAGTCATGATCAATCCCACACACCTGCAAACCACTAGGGTTTGAAGGGAAAAGCGCGTTCACGTTTGACCAAATCCGGAGTTGTTTCATGTCGACGTTGATATTAACAGGCAAAAGATCAGGACGAATGATCAATCGTTTAAATGACTCTTACTCAACCTTTTTTTTTTAAAGAATCAAATTTTTTAAACAAGGTGCACTTTCAGATTTAACCCTCAACTGGATGTTTTCATTCACTTAGAGCAGTGGTCACCAAACTTGTTCCTGAAGGGCCAGTGTCCTGCAGATTTTAGCTCCAACCCTAATCAAACGCACCTGAACAAGCTAATCAAGGTCTTACTAGGTATACTTGAAACATCCAGGCAAGTGTTTGAGGCAAGTTGGAGCTAAACCCTGCAGGGACACCAGCCCTCTAGAACCGAGATTGGTGACCCCTGACTTAGAGCTTCGTTACACACTGCATGGAAGGTCATTTTTAAAAACCATTTCCATATACTGATCTCTTATTATTCGACTCGATTCGATATCTGCGCCGGAAAAAAAAAACACTGGGTCCCACCCGATGCTACATATGATAGGGCTCTTTGACTTACTTGCTTTAATAATAGTTCTTTTTAAGATATTATCAAAGACTTTTGATCAATTTTCAAGCAAAAACTTGTATAACACTAGATTTCTTTTAATGCACAGAAATGTAATGCTTTGGTTGTGTATGTTTCAGGGCTGCTATCGACACCAAATCTAATTCCTCTACCTCAGCAAAACCAAGGAAGCCTGCTGGCCGCTCCACCCAGACTTAGTCTTCAAGCACAGGTACAGAGTCTGCACAGAGACAACATAGGTGTCTTATGTCTTATGTCTTATGTAAAATAGTCTTATGTTGCATGGGTTTATTTTTGGCAATAGCCAAATATACATTTTGTCAAAATAATCCATTTTATTTTATGCCAAAAAACCTTTTGAATATAAATATTATGTTCCATGAAAATATTTTGTACATTTTATACTGTAAACATTTCAGATTTTTCCGAAAATTTTCCCATCCCAACAAACCTCAAACACATCTTTCGGAAACAAACAAATCCTGCATTTTGTGCTGTATCATAATTAAACCTAACACTCATATTTGAGTTTTGTGTGCGTGGTGTGTGTCAGAGAGAGAAAATAGCAGAGAGCAGCCTGAACACAGTGACCACAGTCACCTCCCACCCTGAGGAGCCCAGTGACCTGGAGGAGCTGGAGCAGTTTGCCCGCACATTCAAGCAGAGGAGGATCAAACTGGGCTTCACACAGGTACACACACACACACACACATGCTTGTACCTGGTTTACATGAGCACTCCATAGGCGTAATGTATTTTACACTGTAAAGCTTATTATATGGCCCTACCTCTAATCCCAACCCTCACAGCAAACCTGTGGCAAGTTTTGAATTTCAACAGACCTCATTAAGTATAATTGTTAAAGGTTTTGAATAACAGGCACACAAAAAAAGGTTAATAAACTTCAGCTAGGTCATACTCATGCATTAAATATACTAAGATACACACATTAAACAAACTTCAATAACATGGTGATTCATGTTTGTTTTCTGTTTTCCTCCTCAGGGTGATGTGGGGCTGGCCATGGGGAAGCTGTATGGGAATGATTTCAGTCAGACCACTATCTCTCGATTTGAGGCGCTTAATCTCAGCTTCAAGAACATGTGCAAACTCAAACCTCTGTTGGAGAAGTGGCTTACTGATGCAGGTGAATGTCAGATTATTATGCAGTTTCCTGTCATTTTCAAACACATATGTTGCAGTCCGATAAACAATAGCAATGAAGCATTTTTTAATGTTTACTCAGAAACAATGTCGATGGACAGTACCCTGCCGAGTCCCAGTTCTCTCTCGTCTCCCTCGCTGGGGTTCGAGGGTCTGCCTGGCCGCCGCAGGAAGAAACGCACCAGCATTGAGACCAATGTCCGCGTCGCTCTGGAACACAGCTTTTTAGCGGTCAGAACATATGATTTCATAACCAATACAAACTTTACACAACCATATAAAAGTTTGGGGTCGGTAAAACATTTAAATGCTTTTAGGGAAGTCTTTAATGCAAACCAAGGCTGCTTTTACTACATTTGCTCTAATGTCATTTCTTAAGCGTAAGCCTTTTTTTCATCTTCAGAACACAAATGAAGATATTATAGATTAAATGTGAAGTTACTTTCATAAAGGGATGAATCAAGCAATTAAATCCAAGTCTTTAGAAGGGAGATGATAAAAAGATGTAATTTTGGCTGCAATTCACTTATAAACATTGATCAAAACACAAAAACTCAGCCAAACCTACTTAACACATGAAAACAGCCTCATTTTTATTTATCTTTTTTTAATTTTTTTATTATTATTTTTTTTTTTGCAGAAGCCCATGTCACTTTAGAAGTCTCAGAAATAATGTTTCATTCATATGGATTTTTTATAAAGGTTTTAAAGTGTGGGGATCTGGTTGAAAACTTTCAACACAGCGACAACAATAACATTTCTAATTTGTGTTTCATATACAGTGCATCCGGAAAGTATTCATATTCTTCCAAAATGGAAGCTTTATTCCAAAATGGATTAAATTCAATTATTTCCTTAAAATTCTACACACAATTCTCCATAATGATGATGTGAAAAAAAAGTTTTTTGGAAATTGTTGCAAATTTATTATAAATAAAAAACCTGAAAAATCACATGTACATCAGTATTCACAGCCTTTGCCGCGAAACTCTAAATTGAGCTCAGGTACATTCTGTTTCCACTGATCATCCTTGAGATGTTTCAGCAGCTTAATTGGAGTTCACCTGTGGTAAATTCAGTTGGTTAGATATGATTTGATAAGGCACACACCTGTTTATATAAGGTCCCAGGGTTGACTGTGCATGTCAAAGCACAAACCAAGCATGGAGACAAAGGAATTGTCTGTAGACCTCCGAGACAGGATTGTCTTGAGTCACAAGTCTGGGGAAGGTTACAGAAAAATTTATGCTGCTCTGAAAGTTCCAATGAGCACAGTGACCTTCATCATCTGTAGGTGGAGGATGTTTGGAACCACCAGGACTCTTTCTAGAGCTGGCCGGCCATCTAAGCCGAGTTATCGGGGGAGAAGGGCCTTTGTCAAGGAGGTGATCAATAACCCGATGGTCACTCTGTCTAATCTCCAGCATTCTACTGTGGAGAGGAGAACCTTAAAGACAGTGGCGTAGCAGACTCCTAGGGGGCTCCACATGATCCCTCTCCCCTAACCCCCCATCGCCCCCACCTCTCGTGATTTCGATTATCGTCACAACCCCATACCCCCCCACCCCCACCACGCCCACTGACCCATGCAGGGGGTCCTCGTCAGAAATCCGTGCATGGGGGCCCCCCTGTTTTTTGCGCTACGCCACTGCTTACAGAAGGACAACCATCTGTGCAGCAATCCACCAATCAGGTCTGTATGGTAGAGTGATCAGATGGAAGCCACTCCCCACCTGGAATTTGCCAAAAGGCATCTGAAGGACTCTCAGACCATAAGAAACAAAATTCTCTTATCTGATGAGACTAAAATTAAACTCTTTGCAGTGATTACCAAGCGTTACGTTTGCAGAAAGCCAGGCACCGCTCATCACCAGGCTAATACCATTCCTACAGTGAAGCATGGTCATTGACAATGACCCAAAGCAAACCACCAAAATATAAATGAAGTGACTTCACAACAACTCAGTGAATATCCTTGAGTGACCCAGCAAGAGCCCAGACCTTAATCCTATTGAACATCTGATAGAGCTTGAGAGGTACTGCAAAGAGGAATGGGCAAAAATTCCCAAAGACAGGTGTGCCAAGCTTGTGGCATCATATTCAAAAAGATTTGAGGCTGTAATTGCTGCCAAAGGTGCATCAACAAAGAATTATACAAAGGCTGTAAATACTTATGTTCATATGTTTTTTTAAGTTTTTTATTTTTAATACATTTTCAACAATTTCAAAAAAAAGGAAATAAATTGATTTAATTCATTTTGGAATAAAAGCTGTAGCATAAAAAAATGTGGAAAAAGTGAAATGCTATAAATACTTTCCGAATGCACTGTATAGTTTGGACTGACATGAGAATGATGTAAACTATATTTAAAAACGCAATGATTCCTAAACCTTTATACAAAACTCTATAACCGCATGAATGTTCATATACATTGAATGTTCTCACATAATCCCATTCTTAACTTCCAAATACACCATGTTTTGTCCATTCAGAACCAGAAGCCTACCTCAGAGGAGATCCTGCTCATTTCAGAGAAGCTCAACATGGAGAAGGAGGTGATCCGCGTGTGGTTCTGCAACCGCCGACAGAAAGAGAAACGTATTAATCCCTCCAGTGCCACCCCTCCCTTGCCCAGCCAACCCCAGCCCACCTCGCACAAACCCCCCTGCTACAGCCCGCACATGGTACGACCCGGCTTGCCCCCTTACCCCATTCAAATCACCCTATAAAGTCTCCTGCATGAGCAGACAATAATAATCAATCCCAACACCACTTATCCTATTCACCCTTGATCTTGGTTTCACCCATCCTGCGTTGCTTTGCATTTTAACATGGAATGATCCTCTTATAGCTACTGTACACAACTAGTCATTATGTTTCCATCCAAGGATTGTGAGTTTATGCACAGAACTGGGATATTACATACAACATTTGTAAACAAAGCACCGTTTCCATCCAACGAGTCAAAGAGAACAATATCATCACCTCCTGATAAACCGCTTCCAAATATTACAATGATAAATGGAATTTGCTGATTTAGGAGAAGCCACTCTTGAGCATATATTTTGTTTTAAATTACTAACACCTCAGAAGATTAAACTCTTAAGGACAAGGTGTTTATTAAATGCATTTTTTATTTATCTTAGCTATTTGGAACCTAATCAGAATAAAACCATCTTTTGATATGATGTACTTTTAGAGAAAAATAATATCCATATATGTGGATTCGTGGTCCGAATTTACATAAAACACTTTTTTCTGATGGTTTTTTAATGCATATATAACATAGAATTTTTTGAACATGTTTTGACTATGTTTTGAACATGTTTGTAGAGTAAATAGTCTTTTTTTTTCATTTCGGACAGTAGCTGCGTCCCAAATCGCATACTTATGCACTATTCTACGCCATTTTGTAGTATAAATAGTGTAAGTTGTGTGTTTACACTGAAAACTCTATAAATAGTAAGTGCACTTTAATTATCCGGATGATGCACTCATTTAGCCGCTAAAATGAAGTGTGCAATGATGGACACTTCACGCACTCAACAACTGCAGTTTTGCTCACGTAGGGGAAGGGGCGGAGCTATCGGGCGCATATGTTGGATAACTTTATTTAATTTGTATGGTGAAAGCAAAATTCTCCTACGAGAGGGATTATTGCGCCTCCCGATGGTGAATGCGGCAATACTCACGGCAGGTATTATTTGATAATTCGGTCATTTATTTCACTGATTTGGCAACCGTGAAACGTCATTAAGGAGACGGTTTGAATTTCCGCTCAGTAAAAAAAAACATTAGTGTGCCATTTGGGACGACACTACATACATATACTATCCTGTTGAGTGTGTAAGTGCATAAGTACATAGTGCATGAGTGCATAGTGTAAAGTGTGCCATTTAGGACACAGCTTGTTAAAAATAGTGTTTGGTACATTTCATATGCTGCGAAAGTTGCAGGATGACACTGTATGTCTGTACCATAATATAAAACATTCAAAGTATTTTAAATAGCCACTTAAGAGCTAAAATGTGCTGTCCACATTTGTGGCCACTACGCCCTAGGAGGTTAAGATGAAATGCAATAAATGCACAATGCCTTTTTGGAGGCTAAAGACACTCTTTGAGGCGCTCTAGATAGTGCCAGGAGGTAATGATACTGATAATTTTAATGACATTCTTTGGATGTGGCATTGTAGAGTGACCAAAACAACATTTCAGATGTGCGATGCGGCAGGTCCACTGGTTTGTCCATTAATGCCGTCCCATTGTGCCTATTTGATTTGTTAAAAAAAACTACATGACTTTTTTTGATGCACATGCATGCTGGAATTTATTCAAGTAAATGTGTTTCCCTTGTAGTTTATGCACATTTTCTCTTACCTGTAAAACGTTTATCCTATTCAATTGTGTGCATAAGGTTTTTTTTTATCTTTCCATTAAGCGTTTGTATGCATATATCCAAAATGCACATAAAAATATTCGGATGGAAACATCGCTGTAGTCATAATGCAATACTAATTGTACAATGAATATAATACTTACATTTACTTTCAAAGGAATTTTTGCATGAGTAACCTCTTTGCACAGAGCTCAAAGCTTTTTTTTTTTTTTAGCATTAAACACCATTTTCTCTCCTATTCCTCTATTTTCCCCAATAATTTCTGTCCATCATGTTTCCCTTTTGACATCATATCCGCATCTTCCTTACAGATGTCCAGTCAGGGTCCACGACAGACAGTGGGCAGCCTCAGTACAGCAGGTAGGAAGATTTGCTATAATAGATTCATATAATTATGTTTTAATATTTATGATGAATGCTCAGTTTCTTCATTTTTTTTTTCTCTGTCAGTGACTACCATGTCATCAGTTTGCCCAATGACACCAAGCGGGCCCTCCTTAAGCTCCACCCCATCTCCTGTAACCCCGCCTCCCCGTGGTGATTCCAGTCCCGCCCCTCCAACTCACAGTACACTAAATCTGAGCACAGGGTGAGCTGATCTCTTTCTCATGCTCACAAACACGCACACACACATCACCTTTTACTTCATGTGGCTCTGCAAATGTAGATACTCCTAGTTTGTGTGTGTGCAAATGTGTGTGTTTGGTTTTTAATCCGCAGTTCATGGCATAAAAAGAATGGTGACGTTTCAAACTACATCACTGACTTTGCTGCAAGTTTGAGGTGAATACAATCAGCAGAGTCTGTGTTTTTACACATACATATATATATATATATATATATATATATATATATATATATATATATATATATATATATATATATATATTATTTATTTTATTTATTTATTTTTTTAAGTATGTATTTAAATGTATTTTTTCTGTGATGGCAAAAAAAAATGAATCATCAGTAGCAATTACTTCAGTCTTCAGCGTTACATTATATTTTAAAAATCTTTTTAATTTACAGATTAGCTGCACATTAAGGCCCAATCCAAATTCTACTCCTTAGCCCTTCCCCTTTGTTTTGCGCGATCATGTGAAGGGGTAGGGGTGTCCCAATTCTCTTTAACTTGAAGGCATAAGGCTAAGAGGAAGAGTTAGATACCCCTCGAAACTGAGATTTATCAGGAATATTTCCCAGAATACACCATCTACAATTACAGCATAGCTGCACCCAGAAGTACAGAGATGCATAAATTAGTATTGTTTGTCATAAATTTCAAGATCTATAATACCTAATAATGACACCTGTATCGCAGTCCCACAACATACTTTCACATCTGTCACTCGCTGACACTTGAATCCTGACTTGAAGTCTATTGCAGGGATGGCCAACCCTGTTCCTGGAGAGCCACCTTCCTGCAGATTTCAGTTGCTACCCATATCAAACACACCTGAACCAATTAATTAGGACCTGAACACCACGTGATAATTACAGGCAGGTGTGTTTGAATTGGGTTGCAACTGAAATCTGCAGGAAGGTGGCTCTCCAGGAACAGGGTTGGCCGCCTCTGGTCTATTGGCTGGGAATGAGCTTTTTACAGTGTGTGGTATAATGTTAATGTTGTTTTCTTGTTTACATAGATGAATATGGCCACGGTGTAAATGCACAGTACAGTTACGAGCTTATTGCCACATTATATCATTATGATAACATGATATCGTTGCTTCAGTGATTTCATCTCATTTGAAGTAAGAGATCAAGATGACATGATGACGTGTGCAGGTGTTGTAGTGCTGTCCCTTTTCTTAAGGGTAAATTTTGAAGCTCTTACCATTCACACTCATGAATGAGTGTCATGAATGAGGGCCAAGCGGAAGGGGTAAAAAATAGAATTGGGATTGGCCCTTATGTGTATGCTTTTTTAAAATCCTTTTCCTCCATTTTTTTTTTTTTTTTTTTTTTTGCTGAAAGTAAATTATCTTTATATTGGTGTCTGTGTGTGTTTGTGTTTGTATATTCAGTGTTCAGCTTAAATGAATACACCCTATTTTAAACATTAATATTTTTATCCACTTATCAGTGAATATGGGTAATATATATTGGTGCATTTGAACAAAACAGATTTATTAAACAGATATATTTATTAAAATAATATTTAAGTCACTGAACATCTTTAGAAATGGAAAGGTAATACATTTAAATTCTTGCAAAAAAAAATACAAACATTTCAACAAAATTGTATACATTTTTGTGATTCTCTTGAGTTTAGCTATTTTTGACATTTTTTAAAATCATTTTCCCTAACATAAATGTGGGCTACTAATTTTGGAAGTTATTTTGCTAAATTAGCTGCAGATTTGGCTTCAGTACTGACTAATCTAATGTATATGCACAAATATAATATTGTAAAGCATCTCATAGAAAATATTCATTTAAATTAGATTTTGGGGGGTGTACTCATATATACTGAGCTCTTTATGTGAAGAGTATATGAAGAGATATAAAAGTTTTTAAAAGTACTGATGTTATGTTGCCTGTACTGTATGAAAAAAAGCCTTGTTTTCTGCAAAGATGTGTCTTCTTGCACTGTTTTTCCTGCTCTTAACTTTGCTTCAAAATGTTTTCTCTTCCCCTTTCTTTCCCCTGTATTCTGTTCTGTTTTTCCGTTTGTGTCTGTGTGTTTTGTGGGCTGGTTATTTGTTTGTGTGAGTCAGGAATACGGTGAGGGGAGTTAACACAGGATTGAACCAAGCTCTTCTTGGCAGCAACCCACTTGCTACTATCCAAGGTTTGTGCAAAAAGGGTGGAGAGAGAGACTCTGCTACCTCATATCAGTCATGTGTTACTCTGTCACCTCATATCAGTCATGTGTTACTCTGTCCTCTGTGTTTGAGTGTTTGTTTACATCCTACTGCTTCTATCTCTCACATCAGCTCATCAGTACTAGTGCGTCCTGTTTATCTTAGCACATGTAAGATGATTAATAGCATGTCTCTTCCACAGCTCTAGCAGCCAGTGGTGGCCAGCTCCCCATTTCCAGTCTTGAGGGCAGCAGCAAGGTGTTAATTGGTGGTTCTGGGGCCCAAGGAGCTGGTCTCCCTTCTTCTCTCTTCCTCAACCACTCCTCTATGTTGCCCTTGGCAACAGGCCCTGGAATGGGATTGGGCGGTTCAGCTGTTGGTAAAACCTCATTTCCTGTCACAGGCGGGATGAGCCCCTCTCCTTGTTCAAGCCCAGCTTCTTCCTACTCTTCCGGCGAAATGCTACACAGCCCGCACTCGATTGGAGGGGCTAAAATCGAGTGACGTTGTCCAAAGCCAATCACAGGAGGAGAAGGAGGAGGTGAAACCTTACCTGTCAACCAAAGCATCTCTTGAGCCCCTCGCTCCCTTCTAGTTCCTCTCGTTCACACTCCCTCTCTTCCGCTCTCCCACTCTACCGATGCCAAAAATATACAGAGTAGAAGAGGGGAGAGATGGAGAGATGGAGTGGACGGAGGATGGAAGAGCAGACGAGGGAAAACGAAACCAAAAATACACCACAAGGCTTAGCAGGGCGCAGCCAAATATGTCAAAAAAAGAAGAACAACAACAAAAAAAAAGACTATGTGCATAGTGCAGGACGAAAAGAGATCCTTGAGCACCAAAAAGGACAGACTTTACTGTGTGTTGTAGAACTATGGCAACTCTTTGCAGCAAACAAGTGGAGTACCGAAATACCAAAAAGTATAAAGGAACTTTGAGATACTCACTATGACAAAAGAATACAAGCAAACCAAATCTCAAATACCAAAAACAAACACCAAAAATACGGATGGAAAAGCTTTATCCAAAGGACCTGTAAATAGCCAGCCGTCCAGGACCAGACCCAGTGACAAAACTTCAGCCATCTCTGAGCTCGTCATCTCATCACACCACTGTCTTTTTTCTCAATTTATTTGATTCATAGTTTCAGTGTAAAATATGAGCGAGCTGGGCACAAACGCTCTCGTGTTTCTCTGGTACTTCCTCATTCTTGTCTTTTTATTTTCAGGAGACTGTCCATCAGTCTCTTTTGAATGTTTCAGTACATATGATCATCATCATCATCATCATCTCATGTCTTCTTGAGTATATCGAGAGATTTTTTTTGGCATTTGGTCTTTGATGTTCATCCTATTACCACTGCAGCTTGATGCACGTTTGTCAGATGACATGAATGTTGTAATAAAAGTGAGACCAAGCTCCTCTCTCTAGCTTTCAGACCTTTAGTTAAGTGTAAATACTCTCATTTCCCTCTTCATAATAGAGTGCTTGCACACTTCCTTATTCCATTTCATTTCATGCCTCCTCGCTCACTTTCTCCCTTTTGAATACCAAAGCGATCCATTCATACATGATCAGTTCTTCATTCACATCCTGCAGAAAGAGATCGAGGGCCCAAACCTCGATGAAGCCACTCGTAAACGTACATGGGAACATGTGGGATCTGATACAGCCAAGGGGCTCCCATCCTCTCTGCTTCTTCTTCAAGCCAAAAAACGAAGCAAAACTTCAGAGCCAGCCAAACTTTCCAGAAAGGAAAACCAAGCCAAAAAATGGATGGAGGAGCAAAACGAGTCATTGTACAGAAAAAAAAGAAGAAAAAAAACGCATCCCTTCATGCATCTCTGGCCTGAGGTCATCCAGAACCATGTAGCAAGGGAGTCTCCTCTGCCTCGTGTCATTCAAACTCCTCCTGGTCCTGGGTGGTGGGATCTTTGAAGACCTCACTGGACTCATCTGAAAAAGATGTTTCGGGTTCGTTTGGGGGTTGGGAGGGTTGTTACGTTTGGTCTTTCGTTCCGTCTAACTGTTTTGTGGGGGCTTTTCTCAGCTGTGTGTAGATTTGTGTGCTTTCGTTTGGAGAAAAGGTATTCACGTATTTGCGGAGGAATCTCATTTTTTACGTTCCTTACTCGTTCCTATCTAGTTGTGTTAGAGACTCTAATCAGGTGGTTGAAACAATACTGTGAAAATTCAGTTCAACAGATAAGAAACCAGGATAAACACACGCTCAAGTACATCTAAAGAACCAAAGTCAAGTATAAACATGCTTTAAAGAGAACCAAATATCACATACACGATAACGATTTACATACTCTCATCCACCTTACCGTTGTATTTATATCGTGCTGAAACATGTAGTCGGTGAGTGCTGCAGGTTTAACGAAGGGATGGATACATGAACTCAGTTCTCTACGTTACCGTATAGTCCGAATGGGTCAGTTAGTGCTTCTATAGACTTTTGTAGTAAATGATCTATGTTATAATGCTTACTAATTGCTAATGTATGGAAGAAAAACATTGTGAAAAGATAAAAAAATGTTGATATTTACTTAGACCAAAAATTCACACTATCTCTCGTTTTGGGTTTTTGGGTTTTCTTCCTCCCCCTTTTGAAAGACTTTGATTTCTTTATTTATTCTCCCTCTTGCTCGTTTGTGAGTTTTCTTAACAAATCTTTTTTTATATATTATTATTATTATTATTATTTATTTAATATATTCCAAATGCTGTTTTGTAGTGGGTGTGTTTGAGGCACCAGATTGTATTCAAATGTAAACTTCCTTTGCCAAGGCGACCTTTCAAACCAAATCCATCGACAAATGCAACTGCCGGTCTAAACGGACCGGCTGCTAGTCGGCAGCGTAGGGGTGGACGCTCGTCCTTTCGACCTCTTAGCTGTCCCTTACTGGACAGAGCCTGTGGAGGGGAAACCTATCAGGGGAAAAAGCAGCACTGTGTTTCTTCTGCCCAAGTGTTTTGGTAGCATTCATTCGACGCTCAAGTAACCTTCCAGAGTAAAAGCATGCACTGCCATGGCTTAGAATGGATTCGGTTCAAAAAGAACCTGCATTGTATGTGTACATACCTGTCTTAGCACTGCTGCTGTTAGCGATCGTGTTGCTATGGTTACTGTCGTGATGGCTACCGCACACGTGTGATGAGCGCAGTGCTGCCGTGAGCCTTGACCTGAAAGCTTTAAACAGCTACAAAACCAAAAAAACTTTAGGAGAGGAAAGATGGAGGGATCCTGGAGATGAAACGCAGTCAAATGTATGCACTGTATGATGGTGGAAATGTATCAGTGCTCCATCTTCCTCTCTTCTTCTGCTCTCTGCCTCACTCCTCCTCCTCCTCTTTGTCCTATTTCTACTCCTGCTTTGTTTCGTATTTATTTTGTAACGTGTCTGTTGTTCTGTCTCCTGGTTAGGGGGTGTAGAAGAGAGATAGATCCTCATATACCTCACTCTCTTAATGAAAAACCAAATAGATCAATGACTTTAAACAGAGAAGCGGGCAGCATACGTCAGTTGGGGCTGAGGTGACTTGTTCAGACCAAAGCATGGTCTAAATAGGGCTTTTCACACTGCACTTAACTCTGGGATATCATTGTCCTAAACCCTGTATTTCACACCAGGTAAATAAACAATTCACAATTGGAATTTAGAGGGGTTATTACTGCCTTTTAATTTGGGTTTAAAAGCCCTACACCAAAGTCAACACTTTCATACTATTTGGGGTTTACCAAAGTTACAGAGGTAAAACCCTCTTTTGCTTTTGCGATTAGTCCTTCTTAAGATCAAGTGAGAGGTTGGTAGGTTTACATATATCACAGATGTGTATTTAAACTGTGTTTACCAAACATTCAAGGCAATGAAAGCACCCCACAATGTACTTGGGAGCTTTTCAAACACTTCAAATTTCCAACAATCACCTATTGGTTTATTCATACGCAGTAGTACCAGCCCACCAGGAGTACTTTCGAATCCACATTAGCACATATGTAGTGTACACAATCTTGGCTCTGGTATACTGAGTGATTATGCATGCTTATTATTAGCCCTCCTCCTCCCTGGCACTACCTGTAGAGATCTGCTGGCAGTCTTTTCATTATTTTGACTTAAGCCCTGCTCACACTGTGACATTTCAGCCACGATTTTGTCATGAGACAATTTTGGGAAATCCTAAAATATTCCTGAAATCCTAGGCTAAAATCGGAGATCTTTGATCGTTGGTTTGACATGTTCAATGACAGCCGCTAAATGCCTATTGCGATCAGATTTTTCCTCAGATGAAGTTCTGGCAGTGTCAGAAGATTTTAGACACTTTCCTGCAGTGTGACAACTGCTGCGATGAATGTCAATTCAAGAACCAATAGGAGCGCAGAATTTGATGATACGATTCATGTGACTATTCAAACAACGCGGGGTAATGTCAAAACATTTATAATTGGGATATGCTGTGTGCAAAATTGCCGCTACAGAGTTTTTACGTTTAATGTGATGAATCATTTTAGAACGCAGAATAGTAAAAATGTCACGGGTGGATGACGTCAAACTCCAGGGGCGTTTACTTTCATGTTTGTTTTGTGTTTCGTTTTCGTGTTCATTGTAGTTCAGTCTGACTTTATGACAGCTGAGATCTTACAGTCTGACATGGGAGCCATGTTCGTGCAGTCTGACATGCTACAATCGTTCAGGATTATAAAAATAAAAATGTAAAAAAAATTAATTAAATAAAATCGCTGAGCCGACATTAAGCTAAGATTAAATATTATATTCTTGTTCTAGAATTTCATACCCATGCCATTAAATGCTGGTTATCCCCTCCAGAGTTGTCATGATTGAACAACTTTTTTGGCTGTACATTGCAGTAGGGCCTCCTGTGGTGCTTTCTGCACCATGCCAAGGAGAGCCAGAAGCAAATCAACACACACTATTTTTTCTTAAATGATCAAGCGACTTTTACTATTACCACGTGACCTGTAAGGGCGAAATAAAACTGTTACCAATGCAATTCTGTGAAAAAAAACTCTTAGCAGCGAAATTTGTGTTTTAACATTTGCAGTTTCTATTTTCTCAATTTGAAAATAAAGTTCATAAAAATGGGTAATACAATTATTGTAAACTTTTTTGTGCAATGTATGAACTGGCACTACAATATTGGCCTTATTTTCTTCGTATAAGTGAGCACAGCCATTGGATTCATTTCGGCTCAAGACTTCTAATCTCATTTACTTCCATTCATTTTTAGATGGTAAAAAAAGCTCGTTTTGCTGCTTGATAGCTGACTGATGACTGATATTTTCGTATTGTATTATTCTACTTTGTCTGTATAATCATGAACACACTTGTTTGTACAGCAAGTATTTTGACCGTTTTCTGGAGTTTATTATAGTCATAGTTAGGCATGGGACGATAACCGGTTTGATGGTATACTGCGGTTTGGAAAAGTCAGCTTCTCTACCATTCCTGAGGTATATGTACGATTTTTTTTATATTTTTTTAATTTGTAAGGACAACAGTATCTCGATAGGAAATGATATCCAAGGATGCCGTTTTAAATTGTAAAGAAATTTATGTTTTTAAAAACAGTTAAAAGACTGCAGACGTCAATGACTTAATTGAATTATTTAGGCTGATGTGTTTACTGCTCCAAAATACTTAAAAAATGTTTCTCAAAATGAAATATATTGTGTTCAAAGCGGCAAAGCTGGTTTTATTTCCCAGAAAAAGAATATCTTTCAGAGCAGTAATCACAATATCGTCAAACCGTGAAATTTTTATTCAAGGTTATCATACCGTCAGAATCTTATACCAGCCCATGTCTAGTCATATTCCTAATCATTTCTCCCACATGCAAATAATCGCAAAAACTAGCACACTCCCGCATTGAAGAATAAAGCCAATATGAGGTATTACTCCAATCAAAGACACTGACACAGAATATGCAAGTTCGCGTTTTGGAATTTGCAGTAGGCTATGAAATGGCAGCTTTTGAATACCCAGGATTAATTCTTAATGAGGGTCATTTATAGGCAATGTCAATGTTTTGTTGACCAAGAGCTTAGAATGGCCCAGGGTTAACTACTGAAAGTGTGAAAAGCCCTAAAAGTTTCATCCATACAAGTTCACTGCCTTGGCTCTTGGGATTGCTTTTTACACAGTCACTAAACACAGACTCTATCTCACACACACAGTGTACCTGTATGTGTATGTATGTAAGTGAGATAGGTGAGTAAGAGCGGTGACTGTTGTTGCTAGGTGACAAATTTTATGTCTAAAAACGCAGCGATGTTGAAGATATATAACGGAAACCTTTCAATCTTCCGCTACCTTTCCTCTAGCTTTCGTTCTTACCGTCAGAGTCGGGCGCAGTTTCTGATACTTTAACTTAACGACGTTGATATGCAAGTTAACAGCAGCGTAAGGGAGCGTGTTCAAAGTGCAAGTCTCTCAGTGGCGTGAATCTCCAGAGAAATGATACCAAAGCAACACGCCAGTCTGAGGGCGAACACAACACACACACTCCCTAAAACCCTGCTCACAATCCTTCAGTTTGATTCGCATTGGCGTTCACTTTATAAATTAATTATTAACAATCGGAGAAGGGTTTAAAAGTACCAGAAAACATCAGTCTTAGCATCTGAAAAGGGCCTGACTGATAGAACTGCAAATATGAGTAGGCTATTTTCATCCTCATTTTTCTTTCTGGTTGTTTTATGCTAGCGTTGTATGTGCATTACTCGTAAAAAAGAAGAAGATGAAAAATATACCAGCTTCAGGCCAAAGGTGTTTAAAAGATTTTTAAGAATAGCAAAGAACTTAAACACGTCTAGTTAAACCAAAGAGCTCCACGAACAACACCTCCTCAGCTGTTTTATTTCGTCTCTGGTCACCTAGCAACCCAGTTTCTGAAGGTATAACCTCAACTATCCAAAGCAGATAATAAAGAAAATGTATATTTTTAATTGTTCATTATTTGGGGGGAATCTTCATGATGATGATGATCATACAGAAAAGACTTGGTATGTCTGTGATGATTTTTATGCTTTGACTCTCTCTCTCTCTCTCTGGATTTTTAATCTGTCCCCTAAATGTTTTCCCAGATTTAATTTCACTGCTCACTCTGTCTGTGCGTAAAAGAGCGCGCGCGGGTGCGTCACTGCTTATGTTCACGCGCGTGGACGTATTTTACACTCTTGTCAGAAATGCGGTTATTTTGGCGGTGTGAATATGTGCGTGCGTCTGTTTTGCTTGTTGATGTACCTTGTCATGTTTTTACCCTTTCCATCGTCCCCATTTCTTCTCCCTTGAGTTGAGCAGTCCTTCTTTTCTGTTCTCTGTGTCTCTCTTTTCCTCCCTATGATGACAGGTTAGCCTTTCGGTGTAATTATCTCTGAAACCAAAAAATAGTTGACAAATAACTCGCTTGTTCATTGTACAGTGTTGTTCATTTAAAGTCATTTTTGTAACTGAAAGTGTTTCACTCATCTGAATAAAAACGGTAGAGAAAAAGAGCAGTGTTTATGTTCGTGTTTATGTGCTGATGTGTAAGATGGCCGCTGGAGGGCGGCAGCCGCTGTTCTCCTTCCCGCGGTGAATCATCAGTAGAGCTTCTGCCTCCACATGGTGTCTCAACTTAGTCACCTTCTCTTCCCCTTCCTTCCTTCCTTAGCGCTCTCACAATATATCAGTTTCTCTCTTTTCTACCTCTTTTTCCACTTTTCACAGCTCTCATTTGCTCATCTGACTCATAGGACATCTGGTCTTTGCCAGACAGCTTGTCCTTTACTCATGTTCTACTCCTCTCCAATTTAGATGATTAAAAACCGCACCTTTCGAAGATTTTCATGATTTTACATCTGTTGTTGGAGGGGAAAAAAACAGCTTTAAGTTAACACAAACCACAGTTTAACTTTTAGTAACTTAGCCTGGTTAATCACAATTTTTTTTCTTGACATTTCAGAACATAAATGTTAGGCTACTGCTAACTCTTGATTAGGCCTCTTAGGATTTAGTGTCTGCTAGTTCACTCAAAAAAGAAAGCGATGCTATTTATTACTCACCAACAAGTCACTTCAAACCCCATTCATTTATTCATTTGTCTTTGGAATACAAAGTAGGTTACGTCTGAGCTCCCTCATCCTCTGTTCACCTTATTCTCAGCTGACGAGTGGGCGCTGCCATTTGAATCTTTTTGTCTCGCGACTTCCGGTCACATTCACTTCCATTCATTTTTTGACGTTAACAACTGCTCGTTACGCTGCTTGATGTTGCAATTTAATATTTTCTTATTATATTATGCTACTTGGTCTGTGTAGTCATGCAAACATTTGTTTGTTGAGCAAGTAGTTTGGCCATTTTCTGCCGTTTATTATTCCTAGTCATTTCTCCCATAGGCGACTGAATCGGAAGTTCTAAGACAATCGCGAAAACAGGTGCACTTCCGCATTTTAGAATAAGGTTAATAGGTGAGGATTAAAACATCCTCAAAATGTGTCTTCAGTCACAATCAGATTATAAATTACGAGAATATTTTTGTGCGCACATAAAGAAAACATAATGACTTTATACTTTCTTTAGTGTTTGCATCTGCATGTCTTTCATCATTTCAGTCATTCATTAATTTTCCATTTATTTAAGGGGTTGCCACAGCGTAATGAACTGCCAACTATTCCGCCACATATTTATTGCAGCGGATGCCCTTCCAGCCACAACCCAGTACTAGAAAACACCTTTACACTCACATTCACACACACTCTCATACATAACAGCCAATTTAGTTAATTTACTTCACCTATATGTGTAAGGACTGTGGGGGAAACCGGAGCACCCAGAGGAAACCCACGTGAAAACGGGGAAAACATGCAAACTCCACACAGAAATGCCAACTGTCTCGGCCAGGACTTGAACCAGCGACCTTTTTGCTGTGAGGTGACAGCACTACCTACTGTGCCACTGCATCACTGATAACATGTCTCCTAACTGTAAAATAAAATAAATAGGTGTTAAAGGCAAACCACATTTGTGTTTGTTTTCAATTAAAGACATAGCTTCTTGAAGTAACATACAACTATAGAAATTCAAACTGGTTCAATCTGTTAATATGGAAGCCGAAAAAAACACGCGCTGCTCACGCTTGTGGTGTGAAACAGGCTTTAACGGTCAAAGGAGTAAAGTTTACCTGTACAGCACTTCACTAGCTGGCCTCTGTTTCAAGTACAACCCAAACCTTACTCCCATCCGAGTCATGTCACCAATAGCAGCATTTCCACTGTCAGGCCAGTGCAAGCCAGGGATTTTATTGGGCCGGGAAAGCAACTTAAACATTGCCACATGTACGTTGTCCTTCTATTGCATTCATATATTGTATTATCTCCAAAATAAATGAAGAAAGAAACCGCTTACAGTGGGGAAAGGCAGTGGCGCAGTAGGTAGTGCTGTCGCCTCACAGCAAGAAGGTCGTTGATTCAAACCTCGGCTCAGTTGGCGTTTTTGTGTGGAGTTTGCATGTTCTCCCTGCCTTCGCGTGGGTTTCCTCCGGGTGCTCCGGTTTCCCCCACAGTCCAAAGACATGCAGTACAGGTGAATTGGGTAGGCTAAATTGTCCATTGTGTATGAGTGTGTGTGTGAATGTGTGTGTGGATGTTTCCCAGTGATGAGTTGCGGCTGGAAGGGCATCCACTACGTAAAAACTTGCTGGATAAGCTGGCGGTTCATTAATAAAGGGACTAAGCAGACAAGAAAATGAATGAACCGCTTACAGCAAGGTATTTGGCGGGCCAAAAAGGGCCATCCGCTGGCCTAGAGAAAGCCCCGCTTTGGCCTAATCAGGCCTCGGTAGTGACTATAGAAATGTGACTGGTGCTGGCTTGCACTGACTCGCTCGTTTTAGACACGACATTATAAACGTGGCTAATGTAACCCCACCAGGTCCTACACTACCCAACTTGATCCAAGCTGGAATCAAACCGGCAACTCTTTGCATGGGAGTCGGTTGCTCTAACAAGATTAACACTGCCCTAAATCCCACTCCCATCCAGGTCATGGCACCAACGTAACCCCGCCGTCCTACCCAACACTCTTTGCATGTGAGTCAGTTGCTCCAACATGGAGGCTAAAGTCCATGGCTTCTAGCATCTGTCGCTAGAGCATCTTTTAGAGGTCAGAGGAGTAAGGTTTACCTGCACAGCACTTCAATGCTTGGCCTCTGTTACACTTGGATGTTTTTACCTGTTTCATGCTTGTTTTGTCTACAAGCAGATTCAAAAGTTGAACGGTGGAAACTCTGCATCACTGGATACCAGCAGGAATTCAACATGTCAGCGTCACAGAAACTTTTCAGTAAATTTTGCTTGAGTTGAGTGGGTTGGATGTCATGCTGCTACAAAGTTCTGGAGAGGCTAAAGACAAAAAGTGCCTGTCATGTTGACGGCGTTATAGATGTAGTGGCTGACATTGTGGATTTTGTTAGATTAATTTATGAGGGTGCTGTTTCTGTCACACTCATGGCTCCAGGTGTAGTTAGCATTGGCTCAATCAGCTACAACTTCTGACTTAAAAATGCTTTTTTCTTTATTTATTCATTCATTTTCTTGTCGGCTTAGTCCCTTTATTAATCCGGGGTCGCCACAGCGGAATCGCCAACTTATCCAGCAAGTTTTTACGCAGCGAATGCCCTTCCAGCCACAAACCATCTCTGGGAAACATTCACACACACACTCATACACTACGGACAATTTTAGCCTACCCAATTCACCTGTACCGCATATCTTTGGACTGGGAGAACATGCAAACTCCACACAGAAAACCAACTGAGCCGAGGTTCGAACCAGCGACCTTCTTGCTGTGAGGCCACAGCACTACCTACTGCGCCACTGCCTCGCCCGCTTTTTTCTTTAATGATAATTAAAAATAAGCTACATCACATATCTGTTCTTTGCCTGTGGCAGAGTTTTTTTGGACTGCTCTTAAATGCATAAAATGGACACTGTCACTTATCTGAATTGAACCATTTTAATAAGACTTAAAAAACTTTTAAAGACAGCCATGTTGAGGTTGTTGATGGATTAATTAAACTTGTGTTTAAAACAGCTGTTTAATATCTGAGTTTGAATTGGAAAAAAAAAGGACATTGCATTTGCATCTAGCAGACACTTTTGACCAAAGTGTCTTAAAATTCAGGAGGCATTCAGCAATTGAACAAGAAGAACCCACATAGCAAAATTTCTCTGGCCCACACAATCAGGTTTTGCTTGGCCCACATGCCGCTGTGAATTACGAAACATGACTGGACCAAATCTGGCTTCCAGACAAGGGCCAAACACGGACCATATCTGGACCAAGTCTCAGCCAAGTTAATAAGTGATAACTGGGCCTGAACTGGGCCAGATAGGTTGGTGTGTCACGATTGCAATGAAATTGATAAACCCATGGAGTGATGCGCTTTAGGTACACTATGGGCACGCTTTTTCTCAAAGTGACCTGATTGGTAGAATTTTTTTTCTTTACTCAAAAATGATTTTAGTGTATTTTAAATTTTGGTCAAGACTGGCCAAACTCACATGGCCCACTTATCAAATTTTAAAATCTGGGCCAAATATTACGTTTTTCATCTGGCCCAAATCTTGTGTGCCGCCTTAAAGACGGTGCCGCGTCTGCCAAACCCGGGCCATGTTTGGCCACATGCTGTATGCCAGAGCCGGATGAATGCCTGCTGTGCCAGCTTTATGCCAAATCTGGGCCAGAATTCTTTGCTACTAGGGAAGCAATACACACAAGAAGTGCTAGCTAAACAAAGTGATTTGTTCTAAAGTAAGAGTGCCGTGGTTTTTCTAAGAGAAAGATAGTGTTTCTACAGGTGATTTGTTAAGCTCACTCACTTGTGTGAAGCACACTTTATAAATGTATTGTGTTTGTGTCTGTTGGCATCACCCATAACACTGAACAGAAAATTCCACCAATCCACCAGTCACAGCATACAAACTTGTGCCTAAATAGAAAATATATATGTGTCCACTCTGAAAGTATATGTCCACTCTGAAAATATAGAATCAAGTTGATCTCTCTACACTCTCACTATACAGTAATGTCCATAAATATCGGGGCATCGACACAATTCTAACTTTTTTGGCTTAATACACCAATACAATGGATTTGCAATAAAAAGAACAAGATGCTTTAACTGCAGACTGTCAGCTTTAATTTGAGGTTATTTACATCCAAGTTAGGTGAACGGTGTAGAAATTACAAAGGTTTGCAAATGTGCTTCCCACTTGTTAAGGGACCAAAGGTAATGGGACAATTTGTCATCTAAGCTGTTCCTTGGCCAGGTGTGTGTTATTCCCTCATTATCCCAATTACAACGAGCAGATAAAAGGTCTAGAGTTCATTGCAAGTGTGCTATTTGGATTTGAAATCTGTACTATAAACTCACAAGATGAAATCCAAAGAGCTGTCACTATCAGTCAAGCAAGCCATTATAAGGCTGAAAAAACAAAACAAGCCCATCAGAGAC